TATAGTAGCTCTATTAGCGCGTTATAAAAAAGCGCTTAGTATAGTTTATTAACTACGCCTATAATAATCTATAGTTAAATAAAAATATCTTATCTAATAAGAAAGAGTTAGATTAGCTATTAAAGTAAATAAGAAAGAAAATAATAATAAAGTAGGTTAATTAATAATTAAAGAAATAGTTAGACTATATACTAGTAGAAACTATTACTAGTATATAAGACTTAGTAGTAGTATAATAGAATAAGATTATATATTTAGACTATAAGATTAAGTACTATAACTTTATAAGATAGTTAGAAAAGATTAGTATAAGTAAAGTAGCTAAAATAATAAACTACGTAAAGATAGTTATAATAGTAGAAAGTTTAAAAGAATAGAAAGTAGTATTAGAAATATAAAGAGAGGTAGCTAGAAGTAGAAAATAACTATTTATAACTATAAATACTATAGTACTAGCTCTAGTATATAGAGTAGAGCTATAAATAATATAGAGAATAGATATTATTTCTAATTTATAAGCTAGTAAGCTTATTCTTTTATAATAAGAGAGTAGGTATTCTAAAAGAGCGCTATCTACTAGTAAGATATAGAGTTTTTATACGCTACTAGTAACTATATATTATAGTAAAACTATAGAAATTATAAGTAATATATAGTATTAATAAGTAATATCTACTTTTTACTTAGAATATAAATAGCTAGAGAATATTCTAAGAAGATAGAGAAAGCTTATAAGTATAAGAAGGTAAAGTATAGTAATAGTTACTAGAGAATAACTCTTCTATAAGATTAGTAGTAATATAGAGAAGAAGTTAATATAAGTTAAGTATATAGCTAAGTATTATAACTAGAACTAGTACTTAGAATATAGAAAGCATTAGTAAATACTAAAGTAAAAGTTTAGTTCTAGTATCTTTATACTACTACTAAAAGCGTTTATTTTAAATTTATTTATAGAGTAGAAGCTAATTCTAAGACTAGAAAACTAGATAGAAATAGTTATCTAATATAATAATAATATTAGTAGTCTTTATAAAGTAGTAGAACTATTACTTATAAGCTATATATAAAAGAAACTCTCTTCTAAGTAGCTATTTCTTAAGATAATCTATAAAAGTAATTTAGAAAACTATTTAGTAGAGTTACTAATAGAGCTAGTAGAGAATAGGTTATAGTCTTTTTAAATAGTAGAAGTATATAATTTAGATAATTATAAAAGCGTAGATAGTATAGATATAGCTAGTAATAGTAATAAAAGTAGAGAGTAGAGTATAAATAAAGACTAAAGAAGATAACTATATAATAAAAAGTACTTTATAATATAATATTATACGTAATATACACTATATAGAGTAGACTTAAAAATATAATATATATAGAGAATAAGAAGTAATAGGCTATAATGTAGATACTATTATTAGAACTAGTATAGTATAGTTAATAAAGCGCTATATAAGCTAGTGCTATAGAATAGACTATAGAGATTATAGACTAAAGAATATAAGTAGATTATACTAATAAAACTAGCGTTACTAGTAATAATATATTATAGTATATAAAACTATAAAAGTAGAATAAATCTAACTTAGACTCTAAGCTTTTATTTAAGTAGATAGATTAGACTATCTAAGCCTAGAGTTATCTAAGATAAGAGATAATAGATATAAAATAGCTACTTTATATATCTCTAGAATAGAATAGACTATATATAATATTATACACTTAGCTTCTTAGATAGAAGAGAATTTACTATATTATATAAAGAGAAACCTATATATAATAAGTCTTTTACTAGTATCTTTTTAGATAGACTATTAAGTTATTAATTACTATTATATTCTTTATTATATAGCGTAGCTATACCTTAAATACCTTTTACTTAGATATAGTAGCTTTCTAATATAGCTTTTTAATATAGTCTTTTAGTATAGTCTTTTAGTATATTCTATCTATTTTTTACTAGAACGTAGAAGCCTTTTACTAAAGCTTTATACTATATAGTATTATTTAGAGCCTTTTAGTAGCTTATTATAATATTATTATATAGTCTAATACTATAATTTAGAAGCCTTTTACTAGTAGAGTAGAGCCTTTTACTATATACTATACTATTTTAGATTTAGTATAGAATAAACGCTTTAACTACTTTTTATAGTCTTTAGATATAGAAGTTAGAATTCTAATATAGTTAGTTTATATATTATAAAAACTTTATATTTTTATAAGAACTCTATATCTCTATAAACTCTATATTCTTCTAGGTAGTATATTCTTCTAGGCTCTATATTCTTAGATACTTATCTCTTTAGTCTAAGTATAGAAGAATATTAAGTTTAGTATTAGAGTATATATACTATATTTTTTAGAATTTAGAGTTTATATTCTAAAACTTAATATAGTTAGCGTAAGATATAATATATAGTACTCTAGATAGAAGTAAAAAAGTTTAGATAGAAATAGTATACTTATATAAGTAACTCTATAAAGCTTATATTTTAAAAAATCTAATTACTATCTTTTGTATTAGCTAGAAGTAGAGTAGCTAAATCTATGTAATAAATTTACTATAGATTTTAGACTATAGAACTATTAGTTTATTAATAAATTAATCTTACTTTTTTAGAACTAGCTTATAGACTATAAAATAATAAGTTTATTTATAAATAGAATTACTAGATTACTAATAAATAATAGATTTTATTTTATTAATCTAATCTACTTCTAATAACTATTCTATAGTGCGCGTAACTAAAATTTACATAATTGCGCAAAACTTAAGCACCGCGTCTCTAATACATCGTCTTAACCTTAACACATTGTCGCGACTCTAACAATCTCTTGCGAAGGCGTCGCGACTGTGTCGAACTCTCGCGAACGCGACGAGAACACAAACACTCCCCGACATACTTGCTTATCGCACAGGCATCGGGACAGGGTTGACGCAACCCTGCCATGACGAGTTGTGCGAACCGGAGACCTTGAACTCTCGTCAGCGCAGTCTCTCTCTTCATCGAAGCCACTCACATTGAAAGTCGTCGCGTACGGGTCCCAGGCAGGGTCCAGGTGCGGCGCATACTCAATCACGTTGAGCAGGTAGTTGAGCGGTTGCGCGCCGTAGAATCTGCTCAAGAGGGCGTATGTCGCATCGAGACCTTTGTCATGTCAGTAATCGCGCCGTCGACGCCTCCGCGATGCGGTCCTTCCGATTGCACATACTAGACGCGGTTCCCGACGTAGTCCAGATAGTACCGTCCTCGACCCAGCGCGCTTGCGGCACCCACGTCACGTTCGGTCCGCGCTCCGTTATCCACGCCCACCCAGACTTGTTCGTTGTCGCCTTCTTGCCGTCGAGCACACCGGCGCTCGCAAGCGTCGCTACGCCGAAGCTTACGCCGACCAGGTACTCGAGCGAAGCGAGGCGCATCTTGACAAAGTCTGCCACCCCAGTGTCGTTGTTTTGGTCTAGGGTCACAACGCCGAGCCCACCGGGAACGAAGAGGATATCGAGCGCCGGCGCGTTCTTGAAGTTGTGGGTTGCTTCTACACGAGGCGCGATGACGTGTCCGAAGTCGGTCGGCGGCATGCTGTAGTCGTCAGGGCCGTATGGCTGCATGCCAGCGGGCACAAGGCCAGTCTCTTCGGCGATAACGGAGAGGGTCATCTTGTTGAAGGCCGAGAGCTACATGGACGCTGTCAGCGCTGAGACACGAGGACTGTGAGTATCGTTGGGTTCATACAATGGTCAGCATCTCCATGGGGCCAAATACATCTAGGAGCTCAAACCCGGGAAATATGACCTGGAAACGGTAAGCGCATGAGGTCTATGACTTGCGAAGATATGCGTACGAATCCGACGGAGAGGGTACGCATGGTGTTGAGCTCGGGTGTGAAGACGGGCGATGAGGTGTTTCCTGCTTGACACACCGCGGAGGGCAGCAAACAGGAGGCGAGCGCCACAGCCTGTCCAAAGAATCTGAGATTCATGATGTATCGTGAGTCCTGCGAATGAGCTAAGAGACAGTCGGCGTATGTGATACTGAGTAACCTCCGGTTCTTAACACTTGCTGAGCACGTAGCGAACAAGGTACTGCGAAAGAGTTCTTATATCCTCGCGCTCGCTGCGCACAGGCGTGTCGTCACTTTCCTATGTCTATTCCACAACAGCGCCATCTCCAGTCTCGCACTAGCCGCCATGATCCTTTGAGTCTAGGCGGGCGCGGCAGACAAGCTGAAGAAAAAGAAGAGGAGACGGGACGAACATTTCGCTCAATCGAAGCGAACGAGGGTAAGAGCCTGCAGGAACTCCCTCGCCGGGCGTAAGAGAGTGCACGTGCGGAAGGCTTACATTCAGCATCACGACAGTGCTGCCTGCGCGGATTTGAGCACGTTTGCGGAACGTGAGCGAATATGTTTCCCGTGGCGTTCAGCTACAGCGATCCGTCATGCAGGTCGCAAATATGCCAGCTTCGCCGTGACAAACCTGAGAAGACGATCTCTACATGGTCGTGTTTAGCTGGAGGAGGTTGTGTATTGTAAGTCTCCAACGCCAAGGGCTTCGTCCGGGTTTGGCAGCGGCCAAGCGAGCTGCTGCATGCCAACCAATCGAGGACTCACCACCTTCCTTTCTGCTACCTACAATGAAGTTCCTTCGGCTTTAGGTGGTGTCGGGCTCGTGTTGTGAGTCAAGCAACCTCAAACGCTCACGCGACACTGTCCATGGATCACAATAGTGACAGGTTTGCTCGTCCTGGAAGTTGACGAGATGCGCCACTCGCTTGCCAGGCGCGTAATCAGGAAGGGCTTTTCAGCTGAACATAGTGTTTTGGCCATGCTGGCAGCTGTCCTGCCCCGCCTTTCTCCTCTTCCTCGCTCAACCGCAAGATCATCCTCGACTTTGGGGCTCGTGGCAGCGGCACCTTGTATCGCATCAGGAACGCATCGCTGTCGCGCGACAAACGCGCAGCGACACCCACTTCGCGCGCCATTGTCACTCACTCGCGATGTCCGGCGCTCCACCGCCGCTCCCTCCCCGGCCTCAGAAGCCGGTGCCTCCACCATCAGGCTGGACCGAACATATGTTCTACACGAACGGATCGCCCACACCCGCGTTCGAGGCGTTGATGAACAAGTTCTTCGCGAAGCTTGATCCCAGAGGCACTGGATACATAACGCCAGAGGCGTTCTCGAGCTTCGCGGAGGTGTCGCGCTGCCCGGATTCTGACAACATCTGTGAGTGCTCCACTACCTCTGGATGAAGCGAGCCGTTGTACGCGGGTTGCGCGAGAGCGACTGCTGACTCACCCGTGTTTGTACGGCAGGGAAGAGAAGTCTCACGTATGGCGGCATGTTCGCGAAAGAAGACATGGCAGACTATGAGTTCAAAAACGTGATGGAAGGCTTCTTCTTCGACCACAAGGTCGTGACGCGCAGCCCGGGCGCGCCTCAGCTGCCATACGGCGGCATGCCTCTGCTCAGCTTGGCCGGGTTCACAGACTGGATTGGGTTCAGTTGCGCGGCGCATCCCGACGGCATCTTTGTGGTCCCTGGGTTGAATAATGCATTGCGTGTGTACAACGTCTGGCCGCAGCGTGGACCCTTGCCGCGATACGTCTTTCCTCCGAGTCGGCCAATCGAAGTACAGCAGCGCATGGATCAAGCGACACAGCGTTGCAACATGAACGCTCAGCAGAAGCTCAGAGCGACCCAGGTGGAGGCTGAGATCAAGGCGCAGGGCCGAGAGCATGCCATTGATCTGGTGAGTGATACATATCGAGTCTATCGATACTATTGAGATTGTAACGCGAGCGTATGTGGTATGTTATTCCCTTTGTCCTTCCAATTCTTCGTCTCGCAACTCAGTAGTTCCATAATGCCGTCGTATAGCAGATCAAATACATTCCTCCTTGTTGTTCTCCAAGGCTTCGCATGGTCATCGAGTAGCCGCAAGCTCCGACGGCGGCACATGCGGCGATGGAAGTTCCTGCGACCAAGTTGGGGTGTTGTTGTATGACTTTGTATCCCGGTCGACTGCGTGATGCGCCACTGCAACACCAGGTGGCTTCTCGTACTGCTGCGCTTCAGCTTCGGGCTGATAACTCATCCTGGTATCCATGTCCTTCGTCTTGCGACGGTTACGGTAGAATAAGAATGCCGCTGCTGCGACAAACAGTGCGCCCACCGCGACACCAGCACCGATACCAGCCTTGGCGCCAGTCGATAGGCCGCCGCCGCTATTTACACCTGCTGCGGTAGCATCGGTCGGCCCTATGGGCGTGGGTGTCGACGGGATCGATGGTACTGTGCTAGCAGGGCTCGAGATTGCGGTCGTAGATGACATCGGCATTGGCATTGGCGTTGGCGAAGATGATATTTCGGGGTTCAACGCTACAGTCGAAGACAACGCGAATATCGATGCGGCTTGAGAAGAGGTGGCGGAGGTAACGCCTATCGTGGCACCTCCGATATTACCGGCGCCCGCTTCTTCGATCGAAAGTATGCACCCTGCGGGAAGAGACCAGTCATCAAATTGTCGGGACAGGTAGATTGGCGACCATTCTTTGGTTCCGTTCTGATTGATATCTAAGCTGAAGGCTAGATTCAATGTTAGCGAAGTTGCGATGATAAGAGAGGCTGTGATGGATCGCACTTTCTCCCTGCCCTGCTTCGATGTCGCCTCGTTCATAGCATTGGATCACGAGGGTATTCGCAAAGGTCGACCACCAGTCTACATTCACTGAGTCATCGACATTGAGGACCACATGATGCTCCTCGCGCGGATAGTTGAAGGCGCCTGACATATCCAGACGCTGTCGGCGTTGCAAGCTGAACGAAGGGTAGAGATAGAGAAAGTGGAGAGTCGAACGGAAAGGTTGTTGTACGCCAGTGCAGCAGCTGCTGCAGCAGCTTTGTAGAAGCCTGCGATCCGCCTATCTCTACCTCGCATATATCTAGCTTTATTGCCAGCAAGTCTTGTGCAGCCTCGATCGATAACGCGCGAATCCCGAGGCGAAGTGGCGTGAGGCTGAGAGCGCAGTGTAGCGAAATGGCCCCCATCCAGCACACTAGCCGATGTGCAAGCGAGTTTCTTTTTCACGATAACGAATGGAGGGGACCGCCATGTTGAAGCCACAAGATGCCAGTATGCCTTATTCTATCGTTGCCATTATGTGGAGTGGGTCCACGATGCAGCTCAATGCAGCACGATGCGGAACACGATGCCGCAGGTCGGAGCACGCTGATAGACGTTGGGGCGATGTCGCGCATATTCAATCTGGCAGACGTCGCTGATCTAGGGATCTGGTGTTCTCCAAGTTGTGAGTCCAGGTGTGTCGGCGCAAGTGTGAAATTGAATTTTTGTTGTTGAGGGGAGCTCAGGATTGCTTCTGTGAGGCTGAGCCGTAGCCGAAAACGCGGGTGGTGGCCACGTTACATGGGCTGCGCCATACACTTGGCATCATCGTCAATTGGCGGGCTTCAGAAGCACAGCAATCCAGACAAGGCTTCTGGGCTTCGCGCTCGAGCCTGAGTCTTTTTGAGAGAAACCTTGGGCACGCACATTGCGGGGGTTCGAAAGTCGGAGATAGAGGTTGGCCAGGGCTGCTGTGACTTCGTGTGGGGTTCAGACACGCGTTTGAAGACTAATGAGAGGTCATTCTAGTCGAGCTGACTACACTTTCCGCTTCCGTTCTCTAGTCATGACATTCAGAGATGTGCAAGCGGGGCAATGGAAGGAACGACAACAGGGTAGTATTATACCACGGAACTGACCAAGAGACCCTGCCAGCGCAGCGCGCGATACTAGCACCGGTCTCGCCCCGAGCGCATGCCTATGAAAGCTGTACCGGTGCCTGCGGCGAAGACTAAACCTGCGACATTGTAGCCTCACTATACAGCCTGTTGTATCTATTACTTCTATGTAATTATATTTATTAATCTAGTATTATAAGTAATAGTATATAAGTATATAAGAATAAGTATAAGGTGTAAAGCCTCTATAGTCTACTTATAATTAGTTAAGTTATAAATTTTATAAAGCTTAGTATATTAAGCCTTTAGCTAATATTTTAATATTTTTAATTTTTTACTAAAAAACTTTAGTACTATAATTTATTAATATAATATCTATTTATAAATATTTATTAAGTATAAAGTCTAGTACTAAGATACTTAAGTACTACGTATATTAGATATAATAAATAAAAGTTTTATAAAGATATTCTTTTATTTTCTAATACCTACTTTACTTACTATATTAGTAAGTACTTTTTTTTATTTACTATATATTACTAACTAAATAAATATTTATATACTTTAATAGTTATAAAGCTTTTTTTTTAAGTTAAATTTTTAATAACTCTAACTTATTACTTACTTTTACTTTTTTTTTTAATAATAAATTACTTTCTTTATAGCTATAGTATAAAATTAAAAAACTTTATAGCTATAATATTAGTAGTAACTTAGTTTTAGTATTTAAAAAAAATATTACTAGTATTAAATAAAAGATAAGTACTAATAATATAGTTATAGTATAAGTTAATATTAAGAAAGCTAGTATTATTTTATATACTAGCTAGTATATTTTTTTATAAGTTTTTTACTTTTACTAAAATAATAATAAAAAAAGTATATTAAAGAAAGTTATTAAGTATTAAATTAATACTTTTACTAAGTTTTAATAAAAATAAAGTATAAAAAAAATTATAAGTAAAAAGAATATAAACTTTATAAAAAAACTATTTAAAAAAGAAAATAAAGCTTAAATAGCTAAAGTACTATATTAGTATACCTAAGTTATAGGCGTAAAAATAAGTAAATAGCGTATATTATACTAAAAATAAGTAAAAAAATATTAGTAATAGTGTAGTATTAGTTATTAATTAAAATACTATTAAATAAGTGTTAATTTGTCCTCTAGAGTTTCTCTTAACTAGGCGCTACTATCTATTGCTTCTATAAGGCGCGACCGCAACACCCGGAGGCTTGTTGAACTGCTCCGCTTGAGATTGGTAGCTAAGTCGTGAGTTAAGGTCTTTCAGCTTGCGGTGGTTGCGATAGAACAGATAGGCAGCCGCCGCGACAAGCACTGCGGAAACACCAATGCCGGCGCCGATGCCAGCCTTTGCGCCTGTGGACAGACCAGCACTGTCGCTCGTGGTTGCGGTGACGACTGGATTGGTGGGCGTCACGGTTGGCGGTGCTGTATTGCCTGTGTTGACGGCGGTAGATGCCGTGCCCGAAGCAGACGCGCTTGTCGTGGTGCGCTCATACGTGACTGTCGACGCCGAAGCAAAGACTGATGCGGGCTGAGTCGCAACAGAGCTTATGGTGACTGAAGCGGCGTAGATATACGCGGTTCCACCCTTCTCGTAAAACTTGACACCGCAACTGACAGGCCCGCTCCAATCTTTCACGTCCTGCTCCAGCATTGGCAGCGCTAGATCTTGAGTGCCATTCTGCGGAATGTCGTACTCGTATACTAAAATCCTGTTAGTTCAAACATGATCTTGGAGATGTGTTGTGAGGGCCGCACTGTAACCTAGATCTGGATTGGTGCTGGCCTCATAGCACCAGAACTGTAGTCGTTCGGCAAACGTTGACCACCACGACAGTTCCACCTTGTCGTTGACGTTGACATAGAGTGGAGCGAGGGGATAGTAAAAGTCGCCGGACATGTTGGAGTGATCTTTGGGCGGCTTGTTCGCTACGAGGCAAGGTGTCAGAGCCTGACGCTGGAGCGGGTAGGGTAAGTGGACAGTCGTCAGCAAGTCCAGAAGGCATGCCTTTATACATAGGCGCAACAAGCCTATCTTCATTGTATCGTACTTCAACTGTAGCCTGGTCCATGTGCTGCGAATCACGATGCTAAGTGGCGCATGGCTGTGGTATCACACAGCGAAACGGCCCCCAATCGGCGCACTCTTGACGCCCAAGAATAATACTTCCCCTTCGTGCAACCAATACGATCATCGCCGGGCGTTATGACATGATCATCCGACCTGTGATTCGACATATCTTCAAGAAGCTGCGGGAAGTGGGCTTCTTTATCGCAGTGTTGTGGATTAGCGCACAGCCTGGTACGGGAAAGGAACTTGCAAGCCTTGCACAAAGCCCAGGAAAGTTGCAGCATCGTCGCGCGTCTTGAAAGAGAGGGAGGATCATAGCAGATGAAGGCTAGCGGCTCACGGATCTCGCTCGAGGAATTTTGATGCTGAGATGTTTCGGGTCATCTGGGTTGGCAATAGGTGCACCAACACAGACAAGGCTGATGTCGGACCAGAAGGCTGAGCTATAGCAGAGGCACCGATTACCTTGCATGCCCTGTACCGCTCGCTGGTCACTTTTTTCTATCGACGCATCACGCGCGTAAGAAGTAGCTGCGGCAGCTCAGACTAGCCTCAACCGACGTACATTGAGCGTCCCGTTGTTCAGCTCGTCTGCAATCTCGCCGTTCATTTGGTGATGTACAAAGCCCTCGCCGACAACCTGCCACGCAGATTGCGACGCCATTCCTCGTAAGACAAGTGGAATGCTGCATCCGAACACGATAGCCACGACATCGCCGGGTCTTGCGCGACACGGCGCCATGCCAACGTAGCCTTGTTCGGTAACCATCAGCCGGCGCGCTTTCTTTCGCACAGTATCGTGGAAGCGTGAGAGAAAGGTGTCGAGCTTATCGTTCATCTGATGTACGGGATGCGACGGTGGCCGATGCAGCGTTGGGGCAGGTGAAGAAAATTTGGTGGGTATTTGTCGGACTATGTCTTCGAGCGACACGTTGCCAAACATCACATGACGGTTGCGCTCAAACCATGTTGCAAAGCTCCAGTCGACGGGATCGCCGTCAACACAGGCATGGCAGAGGAAGAGGAAGTCGCTGATGTAGTGATCTGGCGCCTGGAAGCAAAGGTATTTGTCTCGACGATCGATGACCAAGGATCGCGCTATGGCTTCAAGCCACTCGGTAGGCTGCTTTGCGACTCGCGAGACGCTATGCTGGTCTTGTCGCGATTGCATCAAGTCATGACCGGTTTCGCGGCAGACGAAGCTCTCGCATCGCAATTCCCGCTCGTCAAGCCCACCGAGCCCGTGAATAGTATCCAGCACGACACCGTTGCAGTGGAGCTCCTTCAGGTCTTCGGCAAAGGAAATATCTGCCTCTTTCCTCAATTTCTCTCCCGGAGCATCGTACATTGCTTTCCAGCGTGTTGATCTGAGTGGTCTGAAGTTTCCAATATGCTCACACGCACTTTGGCTTGCCATTAGCGGCACAGGTGATGCGAAATCGATGGTTGTCCTCCAGTCTGGGGCCCAGGTAGGCACGGGATCTTCGACGCCTGGGTCACTGACTGCAGCGTTGGGACAAAATAGATGCGCGAAGCAGACGATATCCAGGGATCGATGAACGTTCCAGAAAGAGCGAACAAGCCGTGCGAATTGGTGCGCAATGCTGGTAGTATATTCGGCAGGTCCGATGAGCGCTCGGTCTTGTTCAGTGATCAAACCTAGCACGGAGTAAATGCGGTCTCTACTGTCGGTGGCGGAGTGATTACCCAGGTACGCCATGATGGCGATCAGATTGATACCGATTGAGGCTGGCTTAGTGTGCCATTGATGGATGCGACGGCGATTGAAAGCTCCGTCAAAGAGCTTCCGCGGAACAAGCTCGTGTTCGAAGTCTTTGCTGATGGTACTGCAAAGGAAGATGCTATAGATGGCACTTTTGAACCTTCCGCGGCTGATACTACCCTTGCCACAGTAGAGTTTCGCCTCTCTCGGCAAGACAAACTCTTGTAACGTCCAGACCCTTGTCCACCATGGTCTGGCGAGCAGATTGCTGACGGCGACACACTTGTCGGTGAACTCAGAGTTCTCTAGCTTCTTGCGCATGGCAAGGTCGTCTCCATTGAACCCGATCTGCAAGGTGGATAGGTAGTGCATGAAGTCGATGGCATCGGTGCAGTCGCTACCATCTTCTTTCTCCTCACCCAGCCAGATTATCGCTCGCCTGGCTCTTTTGTAGATGTCTGCCATGATGCGCACTTGTTTCTCGCGTTCGCTGGGATCGTCCAAGTTGATGCACAGCGAGTCAATCCACCACCAGTCTGTGGCCTTGAAGTCACCATGGCGGGTGACCATATGGATGAATGGTACCAGGCTGTGTAGGATGGGTAGTCCACCATTCTTCAGATTGATCTTTGCACCTTTGTACTTGCGCTCGCCCCACACATAGCTGGCTGTGTAGTAATGAGGCGCGCTGGTGATGGTGAACTTCTGCAGCTTGCCAACGAAGACGCCATCTTCGGGCTGCGAGAAGCGGAGAAGACGAATAGAGCTCTCATCGGCGGGTTCTGAGAAGGGTGAGGTTCTGGCTGGCGGTCGCGCGTCAGCTTCCATAGGTGTGCATGCTGTGAGATGCGAGGTGGGACGGTGCGCATGACCGCGGAAGTGGCTGGACTGACGCCCCGCTTCAGCTCATTCTTGGCGGCTGCCCCGAGCCCTCGCACCTCAAGAGCCGCGCAACGACATCGGAACAGCGGAACAGAGCACAATTACGACTGAGAGCAGCACAGATTCGACTGAGCATATTTAAATTACATACCGCCGCTCTTACATGCCAAGCATTCCGGTCCAATCCCCTGTTTTCTCAACTTCCTGCAGCGCACTCCTTCTGACAACCCAACTCTGCCCCTTGGTTCTATCATACCAGACTCTCAACACCCCATGCTCGGCCACCCAATCGAGACCATACATCTCCTGCATATACTCCACCTGGGCCATGAGGCAGAGGTCCGCTAGTGTGACGTTTGCGCCATCACCACTCAAGCTCTGGCTCTTCTTGCCAACTACGTCTCCTTGTATCCGAGCCTCCAACCGCGACAAGAGCATGTGAAACTTGCCACGCGCATGCTTTGCCGCACTCTCACTCATCTCGTCCTCTGTCAAGCCCGACCAGGACACCGTGTTCGGATGCGAATGTACAAGCGCGACGTTACTCCAAGTGACGGCATCGGAGAGCAGGCTCAAGATATCTCTCGTCCGAGCTCGTTGCTGTATGGTTGCGCCCCTCACATCAGGATACCCATTGGCCACGCTGAAGACTTCTTCGAAGTACTCCATCATCGCATTCGACTCGTATATCCAGAAGATCGTACCATCGGCGTATGTGATGCGCAGTGCCGGCACCGAGGTTCCGGTAGGACGGGCCTCGAGGCCAGGGCGGGGGACGATGTCTGGCGTCGGCGCGTCTTTGTCAAGAAAGAGGGGGATGAGGTGGATGTTCTTCTCGTGAAGCATCGAAGACGTGATGTTCTTTGCGCGGAGGTAGTAGACGATCCGGCGAGGGAACAGGCCCGTCGGCCAGAGCCAGACGGTCGTTGTATGCTGCTGGTTCTGCGGTAACATGGTAAGTTGGGAAGGGTGAGGTTGTAGAGTGACCAGACTGATGCGCGTATCGCCTCTTTGCTCTGGCTTCGTGACACGTATATATACATCCCTACATCTACAGGATCGTTTGTACGAACGGAAACTTTTCGTACACTTCAAGAATCATGCCGACGTTGAGCCATCTCGAGGGCTGATTACTGTAATGTTTCCGAAGGTTTCCCACCGCGACGCATCACCCCGGAGACTTTGATCAACTCGCCGGTGCTGGTGTACGATCATGTCTTCCGAGCAAGGCCAACATAGTGTCGGAAGTCTCGTCGGTTATTAGCACAACAGGATAGGCAGATGCGAAAGTCTCATGGCCAGCATCGGAATGCGCACAGGTGGTGGATGGAGTGCAGGAGGTGAGACGGCACGCGGTGACGCGGAAGCCCGGCGTGCGGTCGAACTCGCCACGCGCTAATCCTTGGCGGCCCTCGTCACGCCCGCCCGCCTGCAGCAACACCACGCACCGCAACACAACAGCGTGCTGAGACGGGCCGTCTGTTCTATCCACCCTACTCACGTAATTCCTTGGTACACGAAGACGTGCGATGCGTCGAACTACATGTCAGCAGTCGCTTCATCAGCCCTGAGTAATGTTTCTTGCCGTGCCGATTCAATCCATGGATCTCTTGCCGATTACCAGGAATAGTGGCCTACATAAAACGCTTTCTTGCTACACGAACATAATCATCAGGTGTATCGCTACTCTACCCATCCACCTCAAGCCCACTCACACATAAGCCAACCCCTCCAAATCAATCTCCTCCCTCCTCCGCCTAAACCTCAGCCTATTCCCCTTACTCAGCGCCTCCGTCTCGCCAAACAAGAACCTCGATTCCAGATCCGTCTCCTCAGCCAACTGCCAATCGTACTTGAGCAGCAAATGGCACAGGGCGATTTTCATCTCATTCGCAGCGAAGAACCTGCCGGGGCAGCCTTGTACGCCGTGTCCAAATGACAGGTTATTGGGACCGGTGGAAACGAGATGCGACTGGCTGACTGTGGCGCGGTCGGTGCTGGTGCGCATGCGCTGGTAGCGGTATATGTCGTATTTGTGTGGATCGGGGTAGACGGTGGGGTCTGACATGTTGAAGCCGTCGACGGCGATTTGCTCGCCTTTTTTTATGACGAGGCCGTTGGGGAGGACGACGGTGCGTTGGGCTTGACGGCGCATTGTTACTGGGGTAGGGTCAGCTTGGAGTTCTTTCACTTCATCGACTGAATGGCTTACGGAATGCGGCGGGTCTATACCGCTGCGACTCTTTCAAGGCGCTGTCCATCAATGTGAGGTTTGCGAGCGCCGCTTTGGTCAGCCCGTCGGCTGTTAGTACCCTCACGATTTCCTCCCGTAATGCCGCAACATAGTGTGGTTCGTTCGCCAGCAAGGTTATAGTATGCGTTAGCAGCTCACTGGTCGTGTGTATCGCTACGAAAGATAGCGCAAGTTGATAAAGAGCTGGGTCGTATCCTGTCCCGCCGCTCTTCTGCTCGAACCAATCGATCATGTCGTTGAAGACAGGTTCCGGTTTGCCGTTTCTCCTAGCTTCGGCTCTTAGAGCTCGACGCTCGGCCAGAAGGGGGGTCAGGATTGCGCGGCATGTAGCCCCGAGTTTAGTGACGTTCTTCGCCTCGGAGGAGAACCAGGGAACGAGAAACTTCAAGGAGGATGGGAGGGCTGTCATTTTGAGAATCATGGTGAAGCTTGCCACCGTGTAGGCCTTGGAAGCTTCGAGCCACACCGTGTTGCGGCACATGGTGTCGCCGAGAAAGACCCTGGTGGAGAGACGGGCGATCAATTGGAGAATGCTGTCTGCTATAATGGTTTCTCTCCATTCTGCTAGGTGGTTAGCTCGCATCATCTGTTTGAGACGAAGAGGAAAGTCATCTCACCCGTATCTTGGCCGAATATCACGTCGAGAGCATGACTTGCTTCTTCCGAGAGGGGCTTTGTTAAGACGTCTTGACGAGCATTGTTAGCTTCGTAATACATATGTATTTGCTTGCTTCTTACTCAGGTATTTGGTAAGTTGGTCCTTCACGACGTTTTGGACAAGTCTTTGTTCGTGGAGCAAGACGGCATACATTTCGAAGCCGGAAACATGTCCCGAGAAATTCTTCTCTATTGCCTGTGCGAAGCTAAGATCCATGCTGTTACGGATCTCTGCTGCATACTCAGGAGGTAGGATAAGACATTCGCCCGTGTCGACAATCAGCCTATAGGGCTGCTTGCCGTAGCGTTTCCTTGCATCGCTAAGTATGGCCCTTCCGTTCTTGAGGAACTCAATTCGTTTTGATAGGGTGGTCTGGTTCCAGCGTGGAGGATTTGCTAGCGGTGGTTTCGGCTTTTCGCTGTTACTAACGACGATCGAGAGGACGGCCACAAGCCCTAGCAAGATGGCAGTTATCGCTGGGGAAGACTGCGCCAGTGATACAAGGGACAAGTTTGAAGGAGCATATGGGACTCGTGGTAGCCCATCAATCGACACGTTGGACAGCATCTTGACTGCATAGATTGCAAACGATCGTGTTGTTCAGTGCGTGAAAGCACGCGCATCAAGTAGACTTATACGGTAGTCTGTGATCAAAGGCACTGACAATCCCTGGCGTCACGAACGCTGACCCTGAAAGAAAAGTCTTCATCACGATAAGCTTTGTGGGCTCTTGTCCGGCGACGTCCTCGACTCTCAGCGTATCCGTGACTTCATTGCACAAGGTACCTAGTAATGCGCCCACTTCCAGAGCCGTACCAGTCCACTCTGAACGCCGTATTAACCCACTGTGGATGCTGTATCGAATCAGTTTGGAGGTTGTATCAACCCACTTTGGACGCTGTGTGAATCCACTCATGAGTCGTGGTTCACGAGAGCGATAGCCTCTGGAATCCAACGAAACTCATTGATCGCAAGGCTGTCGATGAAAAGTACATTGTTTGCACTGTATAGGTCGTGTGCGATGTCCTCTCCCGTTCGTCTACGATCATGCAGGCCAGCTTCGCAAGCTGCAACTCCTCTTAGGCCACAATGCCTCACGATGCAGCCGTGAACATGTTCTTGAATCGCCAAGATGGAAAGTAAAACGATGCCCCATCATTTCAAATCCTACGTCATGAAGCCGGCTAGTGAATCCTTTGGTTTTTTGTCGTGGTTGCGAAATGCCCCGAGAAGAATTCCCCGTTGCGATAAAGGCGGAGCCATAGTGGGGACCAGGAACCCATAACAGCGTGTGCGAAACCTGCTGACTGACTTGTTCCAATAAGGGCGTAGCAAATTTGAAATGCGCACGAATCATATACAACTGGGCTCGCGCTTTCATGCGGTCGCCATTTTGTGAACTTTTCAGCACTACCGTTGGCTAGAAACGTGCTGGAGAAGGCGCGTAGCGCGGCGACAGCACGCGAGTGCCACTTTTCTCATGACCTCCCAACCCAAACACAGACACGCATTCACAGCAGGTATCTTCTATCTCTGATCACGCGCGGACCAGATATTGGAGGTATACATCAGGCGTTCAACATCTACCCTTCACTATAGTCCTTGACATGGAATACCTACCTGCGTTATTCCCGTTCTGTGATGCTAAACAGCACGCCTTCGCTATACCTCCTTCTTATGACACAGAACGTCTCGGATAACAATTATGGTGTCGTTTGCGCGTCTTGATTACACTGCGCTTCCCCCTGGAGTTCCCAGTACCGCGTCAAGCGGAGGAAGAATCCTGCACAACGATCCACACACGTCCCACTGTGGTATAGACTCCAGGTTCAGGTATAAGAAACCAATCCTGTCAAAAGCACGAGTAGAAAAACATCATATCGCATTAAGCCTATCTCAACAGCTATGAAAATGACCCCCAAAGCACGCACCATATTAGACGGGCCCATACACCCTGACGAACAAATACTCAACACGATACATGATCTCTTGTCCTCCTCGGCATTGCATTCCTCGATCATATCGAACTGGCCCATGAGCTCATCTCATTCATTCCGCTTAGTACATTGGGTCGCCAACGGCTGTGATAGATGCGGTGCATACACCATTCTGGCAGTATCCGGCGGGCGTAAGCCAGCCCCACAGTTCTAGTCAAAGTTAGCGTCGAGCTGTGATGTGAGGATGGATGAAGACCTACCAACTGACTGTCCATTCTGGAAGATGGCATTGGCCGCACCCGAGATGGTCGCAGAGCAGACTTGTGTACCGCTGAGCTGATCGCAGGTGATGATGAAAGGAGCCGTCGCGCTCAACGGAGCACTGGCAGCACCATAGCAGCGGCCTCCGTCGCACCATGCAGCAACGCTAGTGTTCGTGCCGTAGTTGTTGCCATCAACAAGGAGGTTGCTGATTGTACCAGCTACGGTGATGTTGCACTTGTATGAAGAGTCACATGCACCAGACACTGTGACACTTTGTTAATCGATTGAATGGCTTGTGGGTAGAATGGAGCACTTACTGAGGCCATAGGCAGCACCAAGAACGCCAGAGAAGGCTTTGTCGATCACACCAGGCATCGCGGGGAGGTTGTCGAGCGTGAGCTTGCCTTGTCCCTGGACTGGAGCGGAGAAGGTAGACGGCAGAGCGGTGGAAGCTGTAGCTGGAGCGGAAGTGGGCGCCGCAGTGATGGTGGCTACCGATGAGGTCTTGACGGATGAGGCTCCCAGGCTAACGTCGACGGCCAACAAGGTCGAAGACGAGACCTTGACTCCCAAAAGAGGTGAGGAAGATCCACCAACATTGACACCGAGCAAAGGTGCGGTACCCGTAGTGGTGGCGGCTGCGCTGCTGGCCTTCGAAGTGATGACTGAGCTGGCGGCGCTGCTGACCTTCGAGACGATGGCAGAGCTGCTGGCCTTGGAAACTACCGCGGAGCTGCTAGCCTTCGAAACGACTGCTGCACTGCTAGACTTGGCAGTGACGACTGCAGCTGCGCTGCTGGTCTTTGAAGTAACGACTGCAACCGCACTGCTGGACTTGACGGCTGCTGCGCTGCTGGTCTTGAGAGTACTGGAGGTCTTCGCAGTGGTAGTCGCAGCGCGGTCTTCAAGAATTGGCGCAGCTGCGGCCAAGGCGCTGAAGAAGGTGATGGTAGCGAGAAGCTTCATGATGATTGATACGAGGGACCGAAGTAGGGGTAGTGATGGAGGAAGCGATAGATGCCGAGGAGGACAAGAGATCAAGAGCGAAGGTAAAGCTGTGAAGCTTGGAAAGCGAGAGCTGGTGATGATGAGGATGCCTTCTTCATGCAGCAGAACCGGCTGGTCTTTATGTCTTTCCAAGACGAAGCCCGTTGTCTTGGAGCATCCCCTTGACCGGCGTCATTTGGATTTGTTGCATGGCAGAAGCTCGATCGATGTCGACGAGCAATGCAAATTGCCGTCTACTCCTCTGGTCTGGCCTTCACCATCGTGAACGTGCCCTGAATCTAGACTTTGGTATTGGAAACGGCCTCGAAGAACGCTTGGTGTATGCTATCGGGAGTGCGCGAGGCTGCCGGAGCTGGGTACCTGCTTTGTGTCAACTTTGATTGGTGCGGACCCGATCCGCTTCGCGCAATTCTCCTGAGTCGCAAGGTCTAAGCAATTCCAAGTTACGGGTGCCGTTCCGCTATAGGCTTGAGTGGAGTGCCACGATCTCGAGGCGGGCACTAGCGCGTTGCGCAAAGGGCGGGCCCGTCGACCTGGTTGCTTGATGATGCGATAAGGCGCCAAGCAGTCGATTTGCATTCCATCGGACACGGTCATTTTGCTCGAATGCCATCTAAGGTTTGACACTAGGCAGGCTAGCACTAGTTCCCGCAACCATAAGTGCTCGCCAGGGATGGTGCCCAACGCGGGGTTCGCTTTCAGGGTGCAACACCATCTCCATTGCTGATGATACCGATGTGCAAACAGGGTAAAGTCCCCTTCCCCACGATGCAGCCGTTGGATACGACGGAACGTCTTCATAGATGGAGTGGGTCCTTGATCGACACCTTGTCAGCGCTCTTCTTGTCTTGCTTGATACTTGAACTGCTCGACAATCATAGTCTCTCAACGATTGGTTGACTGACAAATACATATCGAAGTCGAAGCTGTCTGTTGACATGCAGCCTCTATCACAAAGCCATCAAGAATCTCGCTGCAGGCCTAGAGTAGACAAACTACGCCGCCGATATCATGTTCCTGCTCCGCGCAACGATAGCGCCGAAGACCTGAGTGCGCTTCTGGATCAGATTGGAGTTTGGGCTTGTTTCGCGCCGACCATCGAAGTTGTGACCAGGAGTGTGCGACGATAGCGCAAATAGTGTTGGATTGAAGCCTCGTTCTCGCCGGCATGACGGTATCCTAGATCGTCACCGCTAGCGTAGCGAACCGTTTGATCGACTTCCCACGTTTGGATCGGCGCAGGGGTGACATTTTGGTAGCGATCGTGGGATTAGTATGGAGAGGAGCGGGATGACTGCCGTGCGGACGATTGGGATGGTGCGCGTGAGTAGCGCAATATCTGCAATATGGATCAGTCTTGCCGAGGCAGGTCCCGCCTTGCGTTGTGCTGCGTTGAAAATGGTGTTGGGGACATCTCAGAGAACGTTGGTAAGAGCCTGTTCGATCGCCGCTATCGAGTACAAGAGATGGCGAGGATTCTGCCCAGGGTGTGCATCGTGTTGCTTCACACAGATTGGTACTGTTCTTCAGCAGTCCAGATCCTGCTGTCGGCTTTGCGTTCCGAGGTCAGTGCATATTGGCCAAAGCTTCACACACCTGCACACATCCAGGTGTGAGCTACTTCAATTTCCACATACAGTCGGGAACACCCGAAAGACCTCGGATCGATGTTGCGTCCAAGCTCAGCACAACGTTATTTGAAAAGACCAGGTACTTGGATATGATATGAGCGCGTGGCGTATGCAGGTTGACTAGTAGGGTATGCACGACGAGTGGGTGTGCCTGAAAGCCTGAGCAACCATCCTATGGCCTGGCCCAACTTCATCTTCCGGAACTCTTCCCGTCGCGGCGCTACTTGATCGCGGATGTCCTCAATCTGAACCCAAGGGACGACACACCGAGCAGCGCGTTGTTCGGTAGCTGGGTGGAGAGGGTCATAGTGCATGCACACCAAAGAAAGGCTGAAACCAGTGGAAAGTTGATTGCGTGGAAAAAAGACGGGTATGCTCCAAGGACTCTATTCCGATGCGCCTCTAGGGACTGGAGAGGATGAACGCGGCCTCATCTGACTGTAAAGCGTTGATGACACAGTTGGATATGCTCTTAACATCGTTCGGGTTCGCGTCATAGTAGCTAACTGCCGCGTACGAGTTCCAGACACTTCAATCCTACGATATGGGTCTCTGCTGGTAACGCGGGTATTTCCTAGTGGAGGTCACGGCGTTGCTCCGCTGTGGGCGTGGTGGACGATTCGTAGGTGAAAGACCTCTGCGGTCAAGGCGAAGTCCTCCGTTGAGTCTTCTCGACGACAGCCTGTCGTTGGTGATCGTAATATCAGTAAGCAGAACGCCCATGCTCAACGACCGCGTCCCCTCCCCCTCCCTCTACCTCTACCACCTCCTCTTCCTCTACCCCCACCCTTCCCTCTCGGCGCCGACCTCTCATAAATCTTGACCTCGTCGAACGGGGCATCGGCAATCCTCAGATAACTCGGTATACCATTATCTACAACCGCCACTACCACATTTCTGCAACCATGTTTCAGCCTCTGATTCGGGTGGCCCCCATCGCCCTTTGGCCTATCCTCAGGCACCTGCGCCATGAGATCATTCAGTTGCGCGCCCGTGGGTATAGGCGTCGAGCGCGCGTCGACAACGCATATGCGGAAGTCTGGGGGTCCGCGGGCGGATTTCTTGAATCGGGCCGTGGTGCGGTAGACGTCGAAGTGGACGCGGTATGGGTTGTCTGACGAGGGTGGGAGCATGAAGGTGGGTGGAACGGAGCGGTCGTAGGTGGGTATCAGCTTGAGGAGGCGGTAGACGTCGTTGTAGCTTCGGTACAAGCCGGGCTTGATGAGCGGGCCAAAAGCAAGCTGCTCGGATGAGATGTGGTATGTGGGCTCACTCAGTCGCCGCCATAAATCGGAGAAGAAGCGGGTGACTATTCCTGGCCCTGTGGCGGTCTTCTCTTTTGTCTTGGGTGGTGCTAAGACGACGTCTCCTCTATCATGGTCCCAGGTTCCTGTTCTGAAGATGACGTAGCCCGATCTCTTTAGTCCTGCGTAGACGTTGTACATCTCCAGTGTCAGCTTTCCACCAACGCCACTCTCGAATCCGATGAAGGCGGCATATGCCGACTGCAAGCTCATTGGCGCGCCGTCTTCGGTCCTGTATACTGTCTTGTCGCCCACCTCTCGCTTTACCGGCCACCGAACATCCAATGTCCCTCGCTCGAGCAAGAACAAGGCTTCTTCTGGCAACAGCCATTCCCTTCCGCCTTTGTTCGTTCCTATCGTCTGGAAGTGCTGTGAACGGACCTTGTCGACGCATGCCATGTTGCGCTCCGGGTCGTACATGGCCAGGATGTGGCCCTTTTGCGTGTGCGTGCGCTGCCACGAGAGGACGCCGTGCATGGCCCGGCGCGACGCCTCGAGGGTGTCGAGCTGGAGATTCGTCTCATGGCTTTCGAAGTCTTTTTCGCCGCGCTTAGGTAATGTGGGATGTGCGCTGTCTTGTGCTCTGGGTAATTATGTCAGCCATGCGACCAGAAGTGGGTGGGCATGTGAAGGCCTACGTGAGCTTGTCGAGCTTCAGGAAATCTTGCGCTTCCTCTGTGGGGTCGTAATCAGCAGCGTCAGGTACGCGTAAGTGCGACGCATCTTCGTCTGCGTCGGCCATGGTTATGGATTTGAAGTCGTAGCGAGTGTCATAAGTCGGGAGTTTGGTGGTGGTGGGGAAGATTTGGAGAAAGTAAAGTTGCGACAAGGATCCATGACTCCCGCGGCGGCCCTTTGCGCTAGTGCCGGCTGACGTCTCGCCTATACTTCCCCTATCACTACCACACCTCCTTCACAACATTCGAGCCTAGGAGGACTCATCGTTGCACGTCGAGCTGTCGTCCTCATCAAGCCCGGGAGACAACACCAACAACAATAATTTGTATCAGACCAATGAGTCCACGACTTGCCGACGATCAGAGCGCTCTAGGCATGCCAATAATGCGGAACGCCAGAAACAGTTGGAAGAGCGGCATCGTGCAGTTACCACATGCAGAATCTCGCCCATGACTTATCTGCATCCGTTCATCGCGGCAGGTAGGCTCAACATGGGGTTGCCAAAGGTTGCATGTCGCGTAAACCCGCCTTGCCAGCCTTGCGCCACTCCACCCCGCAATTTGGGAAACAAACAACCACGCCCCTACGGGACATGCCACGGTTAACAGGTACCTATACCTGTGTGACATACGCTACTTTCCGGGTCAGAAGGGCGCGAAGTGGCAGCCGTAACTATCACATCGGAAAATAATGGCACTCACTGGAAGCCCCGCGTCACGGGCGCATGGTTCGTCGAGCAAACTCAGTGGAAGTT